CAAGTTGGTGACGCTGGTTTTGACCTTGTGATTTTCTTGCCTCAGGCTCCTAAGCCACTGGGATTACAGGTGTGCACCACTGCACCAGGTTCTCTGTACAGTTTTATTTGCGTCCATACTTATAAACACTCCAAGTTCCTGACTTAAGAAGGCTGAGCTTACTGTTTTTTTTATGAGTTCAAATTTGTAGGGTATTTTTGGTTTGGGGATTGAACCCAGGGCCTCATGCATGCTAATAAGCATATACTTTACCATTGAGTAACACCCCTAGAACCTAAATTCATACTTCTTAAAAAACTTTTTTTTTTTTGACATTTTATATTTTATTCAATTTTGAATGTGTATTCTTATTTTCATTAAGAATGTCAATAGAAATAAGAGGCAACATCATCTGGTTTTCAAGCTTAGTTCTTCACTATTTCAGTCACTTTGCAATCCATTCTAATTCTAGAAAAAACATCCTCCTTAAAATTTGTTCTTAAAAGGCAACAAAATGAACAAATAATGGTTTAGTTATTACAAAGCTTTCTAAGCCATTCTTTTTTAAATATTTATTTATTTATTAGTTTTACTGATTTTATATATTTTTTAAATATACAACAGTGGAATTCTTTACTGTTCTCATTACACATACAGAGTACAATTTTTCATATCTTTGAATATAGTGTATGTTCATATCAATTCATGCCTTAAAAAGCTTTTTGATTTTAAAAAGAAAAAGCTATGCTTAGAAAAGTTAAGACAAAAATTTTTTTTTTTTTTTGGAGGGTGTCACCAGGGATTGAACCCAGCCGTACTTAATCACTGAGTTATATCCCTAGCCCTTTTAAAAATATTTTATTTAGAGATAGGGTCTCACTAAGTTGCTCAGGGCCTTGCCACGTTGCTGAGGCTGGCTCAGCCTCAGCCTCCTGGGCCACTGGATTACAAGTGTGTGCTACTGCACCCGGCAAGACTAAATATTGTTCACTTAAGAGTAAGAAATATCACTTGCAGTCATGATTTTATTGTTGAGAACATTTACCTTCAAGTAAATTTTAAAGTTCTCCTTAAATTAATACTGAAATAACAGTAATTAAAAAGATGCATGTTTCTAAATTAACATTAACTCTATTATATTGTCCTTCAAAATGTAGTATGTCTTTAAAAAAAGAGGTTCAAGTATTTCTGATTAGCCTTTTTATACTGGAAAATGAGAATTAATTTACAGAACATACATTTAGATGTTAATTTATTAACTAGAGAAATCTTTCTACTGAAGTTTTCCTACCTTGTTAATCTTCTAGTAAAGGACTGCTTATGAGAAGTTAATGGTGCTTCATAGTTATTGAGTCATCTATAGTGTGCTTATAGTTCACTGGACATGAGGACACAAATAGGACAATTTTATTATTTTTCCATCTAAAGGAACTTGTGATTTAGTAAGGGAAATAAGTATGCCAGATAGCCAAAGTATTATAATAGGTTGAATACCATAAAAACTGAGGAGAGAATTAAGGAGACTTTTTAGAAAGAACATAGTATCTGAGCAATGTTGATTTGGAAGGATTTGGACACAGAGGGGATTTCAGACAGAGAGAAAAGCATTCCTTTAGGTAATGTAACAGATGAAGGGAGGAGTAGTGCAAACACAGTGTTGGAAAAGTAAAATGAGGTCACTGTAGAGAAACCTTTATATGCTGTATTAAGGAGTTTGAACTCTGTTCTGAGAACAGTTGGGAATAATGTGTTTGAAGATAGAATTATAATTAGAGTACAGAAGGGATCGAAATAAGGAAGAGATTATCTAGGTCAGGAAGTAGATGAGGTGTGAATTAGGATACCAGCAATGGGAAAGGAATTGTTAACAGCTTACTGGGAAAAGGAAGTAGAAGATGCATGTCCAGTGGGGGCTGTGGTGTACACCTGTAATCCTGGTGGCTTGGGAGGCTAAGACAGGAGGATCACAAGTTCAAAGCAAGCTTCAACAACTTAGTGAAGGTGGTAAGCAACTCAGTGAAACCCTGTCTCTAAATAAAATACAAAAAAAGGCCTGGTGATGTGGCTCAGTGGTTAAGTGTCCTGAGTTCAATTCCCAGTACCAAATTTAAAAAAAAAAAAAAAGCATGTCCAGTTGATCAGGAATCTGGTGATGTCATCAGCAGAAATGGACAAGCTGCATACTGTAATCCCAATGGCTCAAGAGGCTGAGGAAGAAGGATCACAAGTTCAAAGCCAAACTCAGCAATTTAGTGAGGCCCTAAGCAACTCAGCAAGACCCTGTCTCTAAGTAAAGTAAAAGAAAGGTCTGGGGATATGGCTCAGCTGTTAAGCACCCTTGGGTTCAATCCCCAGTATCAAAAAACAAAAAACAAACAGGGAGAAGCAGAGGAGTATTTAGAGAAGAAAATGAACTGAGTTTGGGGTACATGGAGAAGCTTCAGACACTGTTCCAAAGCTGGCCATTGGAGCAGACTGTGCACTGGCGAGTATTTTTGTGGAAGCTGTGCAGAAGGTGCTTTTAAGTTCTGCAATTAGGTAATACTGTTAAGGAAAAGACTCTGAAGGAGAAAGAACTGAGAAGAGTTCCATGGGCACAGTATGTCCCCTTTAGTTATAGAGTTGTCTTTAGTTTTAACCTATTTCTTCTTTTCACCTTTTCCTGCTACATCCTTTTATCCTGAAGGACATTTTCTTTATGTGGTACTGAGGCTCAAACACAGTGCCTCAGGTGTGCAAGGCAAGTGCTCTACCACTTAGCTACAGCTACAGCCCCTGAAAGACATTTTCATTTTCCATGTTTTTTCTTTATGTGCTTGTTCTTCTTGACCTTTGAAGTCTTTTTTTTTTTTTTTTTTGGTACCAGGGATTGAACTCAGGGGCACTTGACCACTGAGCCACATTCCCCAGCCCTATTTTGTATTTTATTTAGACAGGTTCTCACTGAGTTGCTTAGGCTGGCTTTGAACTTGAGATCCTCCGGCCTCACTATCCCAAGCCACTGGGATTACAGGCATGCACCACTATGCCTGGGTTGGCCTTTGAAGTCTTAAGATTCTGAACAAAGTGTTATACAAGAAAGGGATCGTTTAAAATGATAATGTTTCTATTATCTGTGTTAAATTTCTTATATTGCTTTTTTAAGCTCTCCTTTATTTGCCCTCCTTGATTGCCCTCTCTGGCATGTGGCTACTAGTATGTATAAGCAAATACTGAAGTCCTTGACTTATAAAACATGATCTCTATGGATAGAGTTAAAGCAGGCAGGTTTGCTAAAGCCCTTGGTTTAAGAGTATAAGCAGTATTTCATTTTTTATGAATCTTCCTTTTTTCTTTTTTTATCATTTGTTATTTTTTTAATTTTTTATTGTTGGTTGTTCAAAACATTACAAATTTCTTGATATATCATATTTCACACTTTGTTTTCCTTTTTTCTTTAGCAAAAACTTGATTTCCAGTTTATGAAAGAGGGGTTAACATTCCTTAATCTCTTTAGGCTCTGAAGAAAGCCGACAAGCAAGTTTTAGAGCCCCTGATGAATCTTGAGGTTACAGTGATTAGAGAATACCTCAGCCCTGTCCTGGCAGATTTAGCACAAAGGAGAGGGAACATTCAGGAAATCCAGACTCGCCAGGACAACAAAGTTGTTATTGCATTTGTTCCCTTAGCAGAAATTATGGTAAGTACTTTAAAAAAATATATAGATGTGTTCACCAAGTAAAAAAAACAGTACTTTGATTTAGAGAATGCTTGTTAAGTTTCAACTATCAGAACTGGATAGGACTGGGGCTGGGGTTGTGGCTCAGTGGTAGAGCGCTTGCCTAGCAGTGTGAGGCACTGGGTTTGATCCTCAGCACCACATAAAAATAAATAAATAAAATAAAGTTAAAAAAAAAAAAAAAAAGAATGCTTTATCTTAAAAAAAAAAAAGAAATGGATAGGACTTTAGAAAGAACCCCTGAATTACTACAGTCCTGGCTTCCCCCAGTTTAAATCTAATCATAGGACCACAAAGGTTGAGATGCGCTCTGGCACCTTTTTTACTTTCTATGCATGCATTTCCTTCTGCCATTGGTTTAAAGCCAACATCATTCACCTGGGTACCAGTAGAACAGTAGGAATGGCAGTCATCTCACCAAATACCAGAGACATAGTTTCTGCTGCCTACCTACATGTGAAGAAAATACTGTTCTCCACAGTATTTTTTAAAATATATATATTTTTATTTCTTAGATGGACACAATACCTTTATTTTAATCTGTTTATTTTTATGTGGTCCCAGGGATTGAACCCATTGCCTCACTCATGCTAGGCAAGCAGTCTACCACTGAGCCACAACCCCAGCCCCTCTCCACAGTATTTTTAAATCCAGTATTTTTCTGAAAAAAGTGCTACGGTTAAGCCTCATCAGCAACATGTCAACTTTCACTTGTGTCAAAAGATAATACAAGGTCTGGGGTTGTGGCTCAGCCTTGCACTGGCAAGGCCCAGGGTTCGTTTCCCAGTACCACATAAAAATAAATAAACAAAATAAAGGTGTTGTGTCCAACTACAACTAAAAAATAAATATTTAAGAAAAAATTTTTTAAAAAAGATAATACAGTAACAAATTATTTTGATTAGGGTTATTCAACTGTGCTTCGAACGCTTACATCAGGCTCAGCTACTTTTGCCATAGAATTATCTACTTATCAAGCCATGAATCCTCAAGACCAACGTACACTGCTCACCCGGAGAAGTGGTTCATCCTAAATGTTTTAGGTCCTTGGAAGGAAATTCAGTAAGACCAGTTTTTATTTTATTTATTGGACAAATCACTGTTTTGGTACATTCAAAAAACTGGGACTGGAGTTGTCCATTCTAACTTAAAAGAGAATATGCTTTGTTTATAGTAAATATACCTGAACCATGTTGTTTGTCTATGAAGTTATATGAAGATTTGTTGTAAGGTTTTTATTCCTTTGTTTAACTTCTCTCACAAGAAAGATGCCAATTTTCTGTACGTAATGTAAAATAAGAGATTCAATCATAAAAATAATTTATTTCAAAAACAGTCCCATAGATCTTAATTTACATGATTTCAAAATCAAGTTGATTGTAGTACAGATTGTTGTGGTCTTTTTCTATCATGTTTACATGGTTACAGCTTGTTCTCATGGTTAACAATATCCAGTAAACAGCGGTTCTGCTTCTATTCCACGTCTGTAGGCAGATAACATGAATAAAATATTTTTGTTAGAAGCTTTTTTCCCAGTTATTAATGCTGTAATTTAGCAATTCTCAATTATTTAATCTACTTTTTAAGATGGCAGATAAGTTACACTAACTTCAAATATATCTTCCTATAATGTATTCTCACCTAAAAATGTTCCTTTACATTAAGTCACCACTTCTTAGTTGACATTGCTGTTTATAGCAAAAACAAAACAACACAACCCCAGAAACTAGTTAACAACAAATAATGAACTTCAAGGTACCCTAGGTGGAAAAATATTTGTCTTACTTGACCATTCTGCAGCGGTGCCTTGTTAGTCTAGCATAAGCATCACCAAGGTCCCTGATATCTCCACGACTCCAGAGTCTTTCACCAACAGCACTTGCCCGAGGCCTGAAATTTAAACCATATGTCTCCCAAAGCAGTTTGAATTCATGTTTTCTTAAGTTACACATTGGAGCAAATTCTTAATTGTTTCCTACTTGCACAGGGAAGGAAAACTAAAGCATCTTAAATCTTTTCACTTAAATTCCTTACCATAATCTTGGAGTAAGGTTAGTTGCATCCACATATTCTCCCCAAAGACATGCTTCTCCACCAAGGATAAGTTTTTTCTGTTTTTCAGTACCTGCATTAAAATCATTGAATTGATATAAGATGAGCAGCTGCAATTCAAAGTAAGTACAGAGGCAATACTCCTCTCCTGTAGGCAGCAGGACCTTTATAGTTATAAAGTGCTTATTAGCATACATAGACTAATGTGGTGGGCTAGTATTAAAGATACTTTTTCATTATGGTTTTATACAAATATTTGGACAGCAGAATCCATCTTTCCCCCATTTTCTACTAATAGTTTCCCAGAAAATACAAGTTGGACTATTTTTTTTTTTTTAATGAGCTATGATCTACCTTCAATTTTTAACTCATGGTATTATAGGGAGAAAAAAACACTGAATACCTAATAATGTTTTTATAGTAATTTTGATCCTTTGATTCTCATTAAATGCAGAGAGTCATATCATTTGTCAGATCTTTAAAATTTAATAGCAAAACCCTTTTTCAAAGGAAACTTTATACTAAAGACTAATGTACAAAGGAGAACTGTTCATGAGGGGGGTCTGAGAGCGTGAAGCTACTGCTCAGACATCCCTTTCCACTCCCTTCCCCTCCCAAGATACCTATTTCCAGGACCCTAGGACTACACATGAATTTCATGGAATAAATATCTTAAAAGGTAATAGTCAAACATCTTCAAATATAGGAAGCAAATGACAAGACTGATCAGTGAAAATGGACATAAAATTTAAGGGTATACTTTTAAGTTTTTATTTAAATAAGTACATGGTTTCTTTTATAAAGTTTAAAATGATACTGAATCTTTTTTAAATGAATAAACAAAATCAAGCATCAAGCATAAAAGGAAGAAAATTAAGTTTTTGTGGGTGGGAGGTTAAGGAAGAAAACTAACAAACCAAGGTAATGATGCTTGTTTCACTTACCTGAGAAATTAAGAGGTTCCACTGTATAGTATTTTCTCCAATCTTGCCCATAACTAATCCAATCCAAGTACCAAGGAGCAGAAAGGATTACAGGGAAGCCAGCTGCTGTGATGAGCCTTAATTCCTCAAAATAATTTAAATCTTTCCACACTTCAATTACTGTACCTGGAATAAGCTATTAAAGTCACGATTGCAATATACATTATTAAGTCTAGTAAATACAATTGATGACAGTTTTAACACATTATGGCTAGGAACATAACTTTATAAGGTTCTCGAAAAACATTTTCTTTCCCCTTTTCCCTAAGATTAGTGCAGTGTACAGCTATTTACTCTTGTGCATTTCCATCACTATTCACATTTCATCAACTGCAAGACTGGATACTTAGTTTTTTAAAAAATAATTTTAGTTATAGATGGACACAATACCTTTATTTTGTTATTTAGTTTTTATATGTAGTGCTGGGGATTGAACCCAGTGCCTCACACATGCTACGCAAGCGCTCTACCGATAAGCCACAACCCCAGCCCTGGATGCTTAATTTTTGCCTATAGAGGACACCTGTGAGTCAGTGAACTGAGATATGCACTGTAGTCCATTTTATACCACACTACTGTTTTACTTATTTGCAAATTCCTAGTTGCCCCAAGAAAAATAAAGAATTCTGACACTCAGAAAGTACTATTTTTTCAAAAGTTCACATCAACAATACTACCTCACAGATTGTTTCTTTTGCTGAAAAGAAACTTTTTAGTTTGATTCCATCCCATTTATTGATTCTTGGTTTTAATTCTTGTGCTATAGGAGTCTTATTAAGGAAGTTGGGGCCTAATCCCACATGATGAAGATCAGGGCCTACTTTTTCTTCTATTAGACACAGAGTCTCCGGTTTAATTCCTAGGTCCTTGACCCATTTTGAGTTAAGTTTTGTGCATGGTGAGAGATAGGGGTTTAATTTCATTTTGTTGCATATGGATTTCCAGTTTTCCCACCACCATTTGTTAAAGAGGCTATCTTTTCTCCAGAGCATGTTTTTGGCACCTTTGTCTAATATAAGATAATTATAATTTTGTGGATTAGTCTTTGTGTCCTCTGTTCTGTACCATTGGTCTCCCTGCCTGCTTTGGTGTCAATAACATGCTGGTTTTTGTTACTATTGCTCTGTAATATAGTTTAAGGTCTGGTACAGCAATACCACCTGCTTCACTCTTCCTGCTTAGAATTGCTTTAGCTATTCTGGGTCTCTTATTTTTCCAGATGAATTCCATGATTGCTTTTTCTATTTCTATGAGGAATGCCGTTGGGATTTTGATTGGAATTGCATTAAATCTGTAGAGTGCTTTTGGTAGTATGGTCATTTTAATAATATTAATTCTGCCTAAGAGCAAGGTAGAGCCTTCCATCTTCTAAGGTCTTCCTTGATTTCTTTCTTTAGGGTTCTGTGGTTTTCATTGTATAGATCTTTCCTCTTTTGTAAAGTTGATTCCCAAGTATCTTTGTTTGTTTGTTTGAGGATATTATGAATGGGGTAGTTTTCTTCATTTCCTTCTCAGAGGATTTGTCACTGATGCCTTTGATTTATGGGTGTTGATTTTATATCCTGCTACTTTGCTGAATAATTCTAGAAGTTTTCTGGTGGATTTTTTTGGGTCTTCTAGGTTTAGAATCATATGGTCAGCAAATAGAGCTAATTTAAGTTCTTGTTTTCTTATATATATCCCTTTAATTTCTTTCGTCTGTCTAATTGCTCTGGCCAGTGTTTCAAGAACTATGTTGAATAGAAGTGGTAAAAGAAGGCATCCCTGTCTTGTTCCAGTTTTTAGAGTGAATGCCTTCAGTTTTTCTCCATTTAGAATGATGTTGGCCTGAGGCTTAGCGTAGATAGCCTTTACAATGTTGAGATACGTTCCTGTTATCCCTAGTTTTTCTAGTGTTTTGAACATAAAGGAGTGTTGTATTTTGTCAAATACTTTTTCTGCATCTGTCGAGATAATCATATGATTCCTATCTTTAAGTCTATTGATGTGATGAATTACATTTATTGATTTCCGTATGTTGAACCAACCTTGCATCCCTGGGATGAATATGTATACTCAGAAAAATGAGAAATTATATCCCATCTATGTATGATATATCAAAGTATGTAAGTACATTCTATTGTCGTGTATAACTAATTAAAACAAATTAAATCATCTCTGAAAAAGTAAAAAAAAAAAAAGAGCACTTCAGATTATAAGTGAAGCACAACCTTTACGGCGGGGCGGGGGGGTAGCTTGACTATTCTAGGCAGGCCCATAATGTTATAGTTAGATAGGATGAATGAGTTCTGCTGCTCTGTTGCACAGCAGGATGACATTAGTTAACATTAGTTAACAATGTTCTGTATTTGCATGTCTCAAAATAAAGACACGATTTTAAATGTACTGAGTATAAAAATGATAAAATTTAAGGTGGATATGATAATTACCCTAATTTGATCATTACACAATGTATTCTTGAGTCAAAATATCACATTGTACCTCATAAATGTGTACCATTACTATATAAAAACAATAAAGACAATATATCCCCCCCCCACACACACACACATAAAAACCCAATACAACTTACTATAAAGCTACCTTAATAGCCATAAAGAGTCATTTGTTTTTATCTGTTCGGCCCTTCTGAATAAAAAGGAACTTAATTCAGAATACTCCAACTTCTGATTAATGAGACAGGGGAAGAGATGAGAAAGAGGAAGCGTTATATCAAACATATCATCAGGATCAGATAGTTTCACAATTCTTACCTGTGCATTATTATCAAAAACTTCTTGCCAGACGATGGGTACTTTGTTTAGGGATGCAATAATATTCAGAAGCCTAGCATTATAAAAAATTTACAAAGTTATTTCAGATTACAAGTTTAATAATATGTTTGAAATGTGTACATTCTCTACCAAGGATTACTTGCAACATTGAAAGATATCTTTCAGTATAACACGGCTATACAAAATCAGCTAAAGTTGCACAATGACCCAAGGACTTCCTTCTTTCTAGCTTATGGCACAAGAATCTAACATAATAGAGGGAATTAATAGCCCTTTGCTATGTATGAGTTAAGTATGCCCCTAAAATACAAAGAAGTGGCCTCAAATTGAATTGGTAGCCAACTTTCAGGAAAGTACAAACAGTACTTTCTGGTAATTTCATGGTATCTTAGAATAAAGGACACCATCATCTAGCCTGTCATATCACCTAAATTATATTCCACTGTTGGCTGACAGTCCACAAATACTGCATTTAGGCAGTACTGCAGGATAAATGGGAATGCATCTTGTAGAAGGCTGGATAGGAAAAGGCTGGAATGTGGCCATGCCAAATAAATGATACAGAGCAAATTACTGCCTGCAACCTGTTCTTGTATGACTCATGAGCAAAGCATGAGTTTTACATTTGTAAAGTATTGTTTTAAAAGAGGATGTGCAACTAAATGTGGCCCATAAAGCCTAAAACGTTAACTCTGGCCGATTCAATTAGTAGTTCAGAGCAACACTGTCCGGTAGAAATGTTGCTGTGATGGAAATATTCTATATTTGCATTTTTTACTGTGGTGTCCACTAACCTGATCTAGCTGTGGAACTCTTGAAATGGGGCTAATATAACTAAAGAACTGAATTTTTTAACTTGAATTTTAGAAACAAACAGCTGCATGTAGCTACAGCTACCATATTGTATAGCATGGGTAAAAAGTAAAAGAGGTATTCTAGGAATTAATAAGAGGGAAATGAATTCCAGGACCTGCATAGTGGTGAAGATTTTGCAGGTAGCCAAGGGCTTTGAGCTGAGTTCTTAACAGATGATTTCATTCCTGTATTTCAACAGTTATTGCAAAATAATTAAGTCACCATGTTAGTGATTTAAAAAAAAAAAAGCAGTGTACGTTACTTCTTTCTTCAGTGGCTGTTCACAACATCTAGACTTTGGCAAAGTGTGGAGACAAAATGAAAAAATAACACATAGTACTAAATAACTTAAATTTTTACAAAAGCATTGATAGCAATAGGCATTCAAATAACTTACTTTAGCATATAGAAAGATTGTAGTTTTGTATAATCTTCACCAAAGCCTTTTTTCTTCATGAAATTTTGGATTTTGGGATTTGATGCCCTTAAACAAAAATGGTGATTAAAATTTCACTAAAGTTTTAATATACCCAATTTATTTATTTATTCATTTATTAATATTAAGTGCTGGGGATTGGCTCCCCAGCCTTTGGAATCCTCCTGCCTCACCCTCCCAAGGAGCTGGGATTATATAGCTACTGATCTATTATTTAAGTGCACATATCCTTAACATCAATGTGCAGGCTTAAAGTTGGTAGGGGAGAAAAGAAGCCTAAAATATTAATTATGAGTTATTTTAATTTTCCATTGCAATTCTTTTTCTAGAAGCTGACTTCCCATAAAAAAACGAAACAAAACAAAAAACACCCCAAGCGTTTTCCCTACTCACTGATTTCCTCTAGCTAGAGCTATTTGCAAAATCTAAGAATATTTGAAAAATCCCTCATTTAATCATTGCCCTCTTAAACTAAAGGTATTCTTATTCACTAGTCTCTTACTATTTAATCTCCATGATCTTTAGCAACTTGATTTCCTTCCTAAGCTTTTACTTTATAGTACTACCCAAATTTTCTTCAAAAATCCATGTCAGGAGTTGTGTTGCCCAGTACATACTCCAGAAAGCAGAGATACTGAATCCCAAATCTTCCCTTTTCATGTGGCGCCCTATACACCTACTTCAAATTCAACACTTAAAAAAAATAAATAAATAAGGATTTAGAATAGCCATACCAACATTCAAAATTCACTTCATCTCCTCCCAAATGAATGAACTGATCTGGAAACACTTTACTGACTTCTGTGAAAATTGAAGTCAAGAATGCATAAGTTGTATTTAGAGTGGGGTTAATAGGCCCAACACCTTGTATACGTTGCTCTGGGCTGTAACATGCAGTCAGGAGGTTTTTCTGACCTAGAAGAGAAGACAGATTCAGTTTTAGAAAAGAGTATTCAATCTCAAAGACCTGGTTTTATGCATCATCGTGATATAGATGTTTCTTCATTTATGATGGTGTTACATCCTGATAAACCCCATTGTAAGTTGAAAATACTGTTAAGTAAAAATTGCATTTAACCCAGCTAACCTACCAAATATCACAACTCAGCTTCATAGTACACTATGAGCATGGGTTGTTTATTCTTGTGGTTACTGAACTGGCCAAGAATTGGGCTCCTTAAGTGCCCTTTCTATTGAAGCAAATCAGTGATCTAGGAAAACTTCAAAATTCAGAGTATGGTTTCTAATGAAAGCACATCACTTGACATCATGGTAAAGCAAAAAATGTTAAGCAGCACTTTAAGTCAGGATCATCTGAACTTTATTTTGTTAAAGCTATAAGAATTTTTCAAAAGAATTTTTTTTTTTTCTTTTTAAACTGGGGATTGAACTCAGGGACACTTGACCACTAGGCCACATTTCTAGCCTTATTTTGAATTTTATTTAGAGACAGGATTTCACTGAGATGCTTAGCACCTCACTTTTGCTGAGGCTGGCTTTGAATTTGCAAGCCTCCTGTCTCAGCCTCCTGAGCTGCTGGGGTTACAGGCGTGCGCCACAGCACCTGGCTAGAGATTTTATACAGAAGAGATAAGCATGTTTACCAAAAGTTACTATGGAAATTTCTATCAAGTAAAACAAGGGAGAATTGTTTCTTGAACGCTCTTTGTCTCTGTTTCCCTTTCCACCTGGTGTCTGAGATTTTATTCACTGCAGATATCAATGATTCCCAAATCTTCAGCTTCTTACAACCCTTTTTCTCAGGCTCCAACCCATATTTCAGATTTCCTGCTTGATACTACTAGAAAGCCTAGCTGCACTTCAAATATGATCTAACAAAAGCCAAATTTTCCATTCCTGTAAGCTTGTAATAGAACCTCTTTGAAATTAAAAGCCCCAATTATTTTTTCTTTTTCCTTTAAATTTCATCATGCTGAGAATAGAGACTGAGAAATTTCTCCTGTCCTGACAAACAGAAGTCGTGGCATATCCTCTGGCTAGCAATTTACCTAGCTAACTCTACTTGCTAGCTTATGTTTCTGTAAATTGTAACCTCTTCTATAGGACCAGGGAAAACAAATTAGCTGCTTTTCTCCAGTTTTGGAAAAATTCATTTTTCCTTTTTAGAATTTTTGTTTATTTCTTATGCAGGAAGACTACTGACTCCAACCAGCAGGGATATGGTTTCTCTAGTTTGGATGACAAGCTCCCTCTCTAGCTTCTGATTGTCACTTCTAGTAAGGAGATAACCAACCTGTATAGTTCATTTTCCTGGAGTCAATCAGTTGCAAAGTTCTGTTAGTTATATTTGTGGAATATTTTTCCATTACATTTCATTTCCATTATCACCCTCCTGGTCTAGAACCTCAGTCTCTTCCCAAGCTGTCACTTTTTACAAAAGTTTTTCCCCAAATATGGCTCCCATCATGTTACTTCTCTGCTCAGAAACTTTACACTGGTGTCCTGATAAAGCTCACATTCCTCAACCAGGGCCTTCTACACTTTCCCAAATATATTTCTCACTATTTCTTATGTTTGGCATAACAACAGTATTTATTGGGCAGTGGTAAATGCCAGGTACTGTAAGTTTTATATTCCACAAAAAAGTTTTATATTTGTTATTTAAACCTCCAAATAATTACATAGTACTTATTTTTAATAGCCCCATTTTACAGAAGGGGAAACAGAAGATGAAATGTTATATAAGTTGCCCAAGGTTTAGCTTCTAAATGCAGAAGCAGAATCCAAACTCAAAACAGTGTAGCAACAGAGCCCAAGTTCTTAATCACTGCCCTCTGTCGCCCTCTACTGTTTGCCACACTCTACTCCCATGAAATTCTTGTTGACATCTCACTCTTTGCATGCCTCTCCTCATGCTATTCCACCAGAAAAATGAATGTATTCTTTGATTTCTCAAAAGCATTTTAAGTGTTTCTTCATCCATGAAACTGTTTTTTCTATTTGCTGTAGTCATTTTTTATGTTTTCTTTTTCCTTCAGTTTTTTTACTTTAGACAGTATCTAGACAAAGTGATTTGTTCACAGTAGATATGTAATAATTACTGAATCATATCTGTCAATAGCACTACCACTGTGCAAACCACAATTAAGAAAAAAATGACCAAACAGCAATCTGTAAATGAGAGATGTGAGACCTGAAATGTTCGCTTTTCACAACTTACAAAACACAAATGCCTTACCTTTTCCCCAAGACTCTGTATGGCCGGGGCTATCAAATTCTGGTATGATTCGAATCCCTCGTAATCGGGCATATTCAATCACCATATGAACATCATTTGGTGTATAAACATGAGACGAAGAATAGCTTCCCTATAATATTCAAGTTAAAATGTTCAAAGTGGATTTAGACTCGGGAATTATTAACAATTCTGTTTGCATTTTGATATTAAGTAGTCCATGAAATGCTGGATGATTCATTTAAAAATAATATAGTGTTAGTTTCAGGAGTAGGAGATCTATAGAAAACAGCAAATTTTTGCTGAATCACACATATTCAAAGGACAACCACCATTTGGGGGCTTTTGTTAAATCATTTTACCAATATGTTCTTGGAACACTTTGGATTAATCCCATATTTACTGATTGCTCTGTCTCCACCAGTATTCTAACTTCATGGAACCATACAACAAAACAGAAACAAAAAGTTTGTCTCCAAGTTGAAACCTCTGAAAACACTACCCTTATCAATTTTAGAATTGAAATTTACCCACTATAACAAAGCCTAGCTTTTTGTCTGTCAAAGCTACTTTAATCCATCTTAACCCATTATCACAGGTGCAGAACACCTATAAATATAGTAATTGACATAATTATATAACATACTATAATTATACAATATTAATATCGAAACTATGATTTCCAGCCTATTTTAGTGCATCTATGTCAATTTCATTGAAATATTCACAGAATTGGAAACTTGGGACTTAATGGGCTAATTACTATGTACTTAGAAAAATTCCGCCCTAGAGTCTGCGTGACCCAATTGTTTTTAAAGAATACCTCAGTCCCATTTGTATCACTTGAAAAATTAGAACTCCATGTTGGTTATAACCAAAGATAAGGTCCATTAAAAGGCATTGCTTAGCACCTTTCTCAAAGCATAGGCCATAAATATTCAACTTGTGAAAAATAGTCTTGAACCTCCACCCCCTATACCAAATTTGTATCTAATCTAGAGTACATCTGATTGTCAGTTTACAGTTAAGTACAGGGGAGAAGTGGGGAAGCAGTCAGCAAAGCCCAGACTGTGGGAAGCTATGGGGCAAACATCTCAAGTTTCTTCAGCCACAATTTATAATGGAAAAAAAAAAAGAGAGAGATAATTAGCAGGTGTATTAATTGGCTACAGTGTCCAGACCTCACCTATATTTCAATGCAAATAAATAAAACTTTTTTTTTTAAATTATAAAAAAGGAGCTGGGGTTGGTAGCACACACCTATGATCTCAGCAACACAGGAATCTAAGGCAGGAGGATCATTAAGTTTCAGGCCAGCCTCAGCAATTTAGTGAGCTCCTGGGTTCAGTCGCCAGTACCTGTCCCCTGCCCCCCTTCCCCAAAGAGGAAAAGATACTTGGGTAAATGTGAACACTGAGTATCTAGATTATTAATTTTTTAGCTGCAGTAGCATATTGTTATATTTTTTTCATAGTACTAGGGACTGAACCAGAGCAATGAGGGGTGCTCTACCACTGAGCTACTCTTGCAGCCCTTTTTATTTTATTTTATTTTACTTTTTATAACCTTTATTTTATTTTTACTGGTGCTGAGGATTGAACCCAATGCCTCATCCATGCCAGGCAAGCGCTCTACCGCGGAGCCATGACCCCAACCCCAGCCCCAGCCCTTTTTGAGACAGAGTCTTGTTAAGTGCTGAGGCTGGCCTCAAACTTGCAATCCTGCCTCAATCTTCCAAATTGCTGGGATTATAGACATGCACCACTGTGCCTGGCTATGATTATGTTTCTTAAAAATACCAGGTCTTTTTTCAAGTGAGAGATGATGTCCAGAAGTGGTGAGACAGTCTGCAGAATACAAGTGACAGATTGCCATGTACATGATTGAAGCCGGGTGATGAAAACAAGGGAATTCAATTACTCTATTTCCGTATATGCTTGAAATGGTCTGTCATAAAGGGGAAACCAAAACAAAAACACAAGTGCTGCTAGCGTTTCAGCCTAGACTACATCATAACATTGGAGAAAGTTTTGGCATTGTGGCCAGAGGACAGAATTTAGAGTACTGCCCCTGTTCCTTCCTAACTGCACTAAACTCATCTTCCTTGGCCTTTGTGTCTGCCTTATTACAAGGCAGAGAACGTCTCTGTGTTGGCTGCTTACTTTGTATTATAGGGGTATTAAACTAGGTGACACCAAATATCTCCCCAATCCCACTTCCTATAATAGTCCAGTCGAATACTTCCAACAGAAACTACCAGTTTTCTATGAAAAGGCATTCATCTCTAAAATTCTCTACTTCATATGGGTTTTCAGAGAGAAAAAGAAATAACCCATTGACACAGTTCCAAACAATTCTGTTTAAAACAAATACACTGTTGGACTACTTGACAAACCTTAACTATTGATATTCGTGAATTATTCATGTTTCCTACATAAAGTTTTTAGAATTTTATTTGTATTGCCCATAGAGATTACTCACATTTACAATAACATAACATTTTCAATAATAATAACAGGAACATAACATCCCCAGCCCCCAAAACATTTTAAACCATAAATATATTTTACACTTAAATGATAATTAATAAGAAAAAACACCTATGTTATAAACTTCTAAAGAAGCTATACCAGAGATTTTTATAAGACATGATACAGTAATATGAATGACTTACTTTATTGCTTAACTGAGGAAAAGTGGTGCTCTGATAAGGGAAAGACTGGTCATCCACTATGTGCCAGTGAAGAACATTAAACTTATTAAAAGCCATGGCATCCTGCAAGCAAAACATGTTACAAATTATATACCACAGATTCAATATACAATATAATGCACAAGATAATTACATATCTACATCTAGGTTTGCTTCCAATAAGTCAGCCTCCTTTGAAGATTTCTTTTTCAGTAAAGAAAGAACATGGAAGAAACATAAAATCTTTATCATACATGGCTTACACAACATTTCAATATTCAAAAAGCCTACACAGACTATTTATTCTTGACAGCTGTAACACTGCTCTATGGGAAGAGAAAAGGCCTATAAAATTCCTGGTACTTAGGGATCTGATGAGAACAGAAAATAGTTCTTGGCTGCTATTGTGTTTGGGAATTGAGCAGAGGGAAATGGGGCATTCATATAAGTATGAAGGCCGATAATCCTATAATTAAATATATTGAAAATATATGATTTTAGATACAGATAAAAGGTGGTCATTGGAATTAATTGTATCAGTACAAACTTGTGGATTTTAATATAGATCAGGGATTAGCAAACTTTACATAAGGGTCAGATGGTAAATATTTCAGCTTTCAAGCCATGTAGTTTCTCTTGCCACTACTCCACTCTGTAGCTGTAGAGTTAAGACAGCATGTAATCAAACATGTGTAGTTGTATTTCTGTAGAACTTTATTTGCAAAGATAGAGGGTTGTGATACTATGATATATATTTTTTGGTTTGGTTCATGGTTTCTGGCTCATAAATCCCTCTCCAAGCAGGCTATAAGAAATCAAAATTTCTCTTCCCCATGGTGAGTATGGAAACTCTACTCTTCCTTGGCCTTTGTGTCTTAGAGACGGCCATAAAGAAATTTTGTGACATACTCTTGTTGATAGTAGGTTTTAAGACCTTCCTCATTCCAAAGGGGTCCTACCCCATATCCTGGAGGGAAATGCTACACAGACAGGCCAAGAAAAATGCTAATGCAGACAGGCCTTAGTAGGTTACCCACCCAATCTGTTAGCATTAGGTCATACCCTTTCTGTCTACTACATTTCAACAGAGTTGTCTCCAAAAAACCCAAAAGGACAGGGTTTGGAGAGCTTCCAGCCTGCTGAACACAAGGAGGTTCCTAGAGGTGGCACAGTGAGAGTGGATCTCTTTCCCTATGTCCTTTGCAGTATCCTTTATAGTAAAGTAAATGCGTTCCCCGATTTCTGTGAGTCATTAATTGAACCCAAGGAGGAGAAGGGATATCTGGTCAGTCAGAAGCACAGGTAAAACAACCTGGAGCTTAGGACCAGAGTCTGAAGAGGAGTCCAGAGAGTGAGCCCTCAACCTGTGCCATCTGACACCATCTCCAGGAGGATATTGTCTGAATTGGATGTGATCAGAGGACACCAGCTATTATCTGTTGCAGAACTGATTGCTTGCCATCCAGTGGGAAGAAATCCCCACATCTCTTAAGGTCACAGAAGTTTTCTGTGTTGATTGTTGTGTGGCAGAAAAAAAAAAAACACAAAAAACACCACCACTTTTGTTCTTCCTGACAAACAGTGGAGAGCTGGATTCAGCCCTTGGGTTGTGGTTTACCAACCTCTGATACAGACAAAGAAGTAGGCACAACACTTAAATCTGGGGTGTCTTGGTAAAAAGTACAAGTTTTTGGTACTTTTACAAATTTAAAATTACTTTAAAAAAAGAAAAGCAAAAGACAAAATTTCTACAGCTTTAGAAACTAAAGCCATCTGTACTGGTGCAAGAAGATAAACTAGTAAAGACAAAGTTAAAAAACTGACTTGTTACATTTATGGGAATTATTGAAAGCAATGGAGAAATTATAGATTGCTCAAAAATGATGTTGGGATTACTGGGTAACCATTTGGAAAATCTAAAATTAAAATATCTATCATTATAATATACTAAAGTAAGTTCTAACTGAATCAAGAATTTAATAGGAACTAAAACACTAAAAGAAAATTTCAAGTTATTTTTATATGTATACCCCTGTCATGGAGAAGGCCTTTCTTGTATACCTCCAAAGGCCAAAACAACTAAACACTGAACGATATTATTTCATAAACGAATTAAAAACCTCTGTAGGCAGAAGATATAATAAACACAGTTTAAAAAACAATGTTAGAAAAATTTCACAATAGTATATGAAAAGTATATAAAAGTATCAATGACACATCTACACATATAACATTGAAAAGGAAGGCATTAGCATTCTAGGAGACAGAATGAACAAGGAAGTCCAAATTAAAACCAGGAGATAAAACTTTATCTGCCAGCAGAGTATGGCACAGATGTGCCTGCTATTGGCCAAGCATATGGTATAGAGAGAATAAGGTCCTTTAAATAGAGAGAATAAGCATACCACATACTTGGCCAATAAGAAGATGAATCAAAAGACAAAATATGCATCTTTAAGCCTAGAAGTTCACTTCTAAGACTTAATCCTCAATAATAATAATAATAATAATAATAATAATAATAATAATAATAATAATAATCTTGACAAGCATACAAATAAATACATATGTCATATATGTAAGAATGTTTATTCTGCAGTTCTGTTTATGATTATAATAAATTCAACCTTGATGTCTCAGCATCAGAGAGCTTAAATATACAAAATGGAATATTCAATTCTTGAAAAGGCTGCTAAAGTACAATCTCATTTCAGTTTCTTAAAAAGTCACATCATAGGGCTGGGGACATAGCTCAGTGATAGAACACTTGCTTAAAATGTGCAAGACCCTGGGTTTGATCCTCAGCACCAGAAAAGTCACATTGAATTAACATTTTTAAAGTCTAGAATAAGAAACATAAAAGTTAATGTTGATATCTTTGGTAAATGAAATTATGGGATGACTACTTGTTCTGCCTATTTTATGCTTATGTATAGTTGGAAATTTTTACACTAAGAATTTATTTCTTTCATAAAAGTGACAATAATGTCTCTGGGAAAAGAATGCCAGGTATTAATATAAATGCAGAAATAATTTTTAGTAGCATGATATATTCATAAATCAAGTGAAGTTGCACAAAACATGAGAGGAAAATCCCTACCCCCACAAACTGGCAGGTATTGGTGGTGATGAACCAATAAAAAGTCTGTGTGAGAAAACTGTTTTCAGCCTTCTTCCTAACTCCCATTATGAGGTTCCATGTTCCTTTGGAATACTTCCCTAGGTATAAAGAAGCACCTAGTTCTCTTTCTATGCCACTTTTTAAAAAGTAGAGGTCACAATATCAAAGAACAGTAATTAGAAGTATGGTAGCCTGTATTTCAAACCAAAAATTTAGCATGATTTGACAAAGGAGGTACACATAGAGGGCCAGTGACAGCAGTCAAACTATTTTGTTTTCTTAACCAACTTCGCTAAATACATGTTGTCTGTGATCCTCCAATGAAAACAGGAGGGTGATCCCTGAAGAGAGCCTTCACTTCACAGCTGAGGAAATACACTACCTAAGGAGGGAGAAGAAAGCCCAGTGTCTTAGAAGAAAACAAATCCTGCTCTCCAACCTGCATGGCAACGTAATTAACCAGCATAAAATCAAAACACCAAGGGGACATATCTCCCAATGGACAGTGGAGAAGAATAAAGTGATTACCTACCAGAGTTTTAAGAATAGTCTTAACGGACAAGTAGTGTCTGGATGTATCAATTAAAATACCTCGATAAGGAAATCTTGGAGAATCAACAATGTTGGATTCATTGATGGTGAACTATGAGAAAATAAAAAATAAAATTTTGATTTAGCTTTAGGATTTGGGTTCAATGAAGATTATATTCACCTATACAAGTACTGGATACAAGATTCATTTACAACAACAAAAAATGAAATTTACATTCACTAAGAACAATTTTGGGAAAAGAAATTTCAGGAAGTTACTGAAGCTAAAAGCTGAACAGGTTACATTTTTCTAACAGTAATTTTTAGTGATATATAATATTACTAAATAATTTTTAGTAATATATAATAATACTTACAGCCCCAAAAGAATCTTCATAAACTAGCTGGCTAAAGGTCTCTAAACCTGAGAAAAGTAAAATTTATTGCATTAACTTATAAAAACAATAAGTTGAGACCAATGTTATACCATCCAAACAGACTCTTAAGCAGGTGAGGCAAATAAAATTAAATATAGTTATACCTATACCCTCTAAAAGGTAGTGTTGCATCTAGGCTCTAACATATTCTCTAAAATCAAGGCTTCCTTATGGTGTTTTATTTATGGCTGCAAAGCTTTCTTCCTGAACATCTTTTACTCAAGTGGATTGTTTCTAGTTCAGGCTAATTCTCTGGCTAGACTTGACTTTATCCAGATTCATTCTAGCTGACCACTACACAGCCAGGGAAAATTTTAAACTTAGTTCAGTCATTTTTGCTATTCCTTCTCAACTGATCCTCCTTAAGTACAAGTTTGGGAAGGATAACTACAAAATTTCCCCTTAAACGACATTCTACTCAATTTCAGTTTAGAGTATATTTCTTTGAAAGTCTGATAGTAAAGAGAAAATAAAGACTCTTTAGGATCTAGTTGTTACATATTCTCTAAAGCTCTTCACATTGTTAAGGATCATGACAAATAACAATAAGGATCTGTTCTCCTGAACAGACCCCAGATAAAGATCCAACTAATAAAAGCTTAAAACCACATACTATTATATATAAAAACTCCAAGCGATTATGATTACAGTAATATTTGTAGTAATATCTATAAATATTTTCATTTTTTATTTTGAAATAGGATTATAATATATGGCTATGGCTATAAAAACACATTAACAATGATTATTTTAGATAACCCGAATCAAATCCAAAGCTTTTTTTATTTTTAATTACTGCAACTTTGGTTGGTTAGCTCATATGAAAAATTTCCTTTTAAAAAAACCTGTTATTAACTGGGTGTGGAGGCACATGCCTATAATCAAAGCTACTGTGAGGCTGAGACAGGAAGATCTCAAGTTTGGGGCCACACTGGGAAACTGAGTGACTGTCTAAAAAGAGAGAAGAAAAGGGGAAGGAAATGTAGCTCAGTGGTGGTGCATCCTGGGTTCAATGCCCAGAGCTGCTTAAAAAAAAAACAAAAAACTTGGTATTTAGAAGACAGTACAGTATCTTTCTTATCTACCTAGAAGAGGAGGTAAAAGAAACTTTGAACAGTAGAAGTAAATGTCCCTAAGCCAAATTTTCAGGTTTGGATCATGAAATTCATAGGAAAAGCTTTCAAGGTTTCTCCTCGCCAACTGCTTGTACCCAACTCTAGAGCACATTTTTCTTTTTACATTGTTCCTATAAACTTGGTTATATTTATCCACAGGAATTTAAAACTGGGGAAGAGTTTGCTTGCTACTGAAGACAGCAAGAAATGATAACTGACACAAAATCCTTTAATCAGAACAGATTGGAGTCATTTATAGCCTTATACACATTACAGTCTCAGGAACATCAATGAACAGCAGCTCCACCGCAGTATAATAACACTCACTTTTTAATTTTTGTGTGTGTGTGTATATGTGTGTGTGTGTGTGTGTACAGACAGTACTAGGGATTAAATCCAGGGCCTTGTGCATGCCAGACAAGTATTCTACCATGAGCTACATCCCTGGCCCAACCCTCATACATTTTTTAAAAGGCCAAATGAGGTTTCTTTGTGCTTTAAGTAGTGAATCTTTCACAGAATTCATTTTGGAACTATTCAATAAAGCATTCTGTAACAGGTCCAAGGCAGCAGTTTTGCTGTGTTTGATTTCACAAAGCATCAACTGAATATGTTTCTTTACTAGAAATTAACAATGAAACGGTGTAGGACTTACCTCTCAATACTCCCCAAACTCTGTTGGCCTTGAGGACAGCCACTGGTTCTTGCACAAGTAAAGAATCTGTGGTGGTGGGGGGTAACTTCTGTTAATCCCTCAATAGTACACAATATATTTGTTAAACATATCATTGATATTTCTGCACCATTCTTTTCTCTGAGCACCAACTTGCTTCTCTAACTGCCTTCCATACATCTCTACTTGGGTGTCCTAAACTTAAGTTCTTAAGCTCTACCTGCCTAAAAGTGAGCTCTTCACTTCACTGTATTTGGCTTGTGCATTTCCATTTCCCTTGGTCCCAGCATCAGCATGCACTCTGTTGAGTTGCTCCAGTCAGGGACTTGGGTGACATCACCATGATACCTCATTTTTCCTTTCAGGAGAGTTATGCTCTCCAATTGTGCCTCCACAGTGTAGGGTCCTAGTTAAGCTAAGGTTTTGGGGTCAAAAATAAAAACATTCCTCAATGCCCACAATTCCTTGATCACTCGAAATTTCTACTCCCCTTAAGGCCAGAAAGTTATCTCCAGTCTTTTCCTGTCAGGTTTTTTCCCATTTGTCCTTAACCCAGCTTCCCTCAATAATATCTGAAATCTGCCTTAAGACTCTTGTTAATTCCCTTTAGCTTAATTCAGCTTTGTCCCCTTCTATAATGGGGCTCTCTTTGGCTGCCTCTGGGCAAAGAGGAGATCATCTCTCAATTTTTGAAATCCCACTCTGCTAAGGTTGACCTAATATTCGTTTCATCTTTCAGAGAGGTCTGGGGAGCCAGTTCAGGGTAAAGCAAAGGAGAGTACACAGCTTAAAAGCTAAAGGGCATAACAAATGTAGACTTTGCCTTAGGGAAGACACTCAGGGCTGGAGGTTAATGATTTGATACTGCATCCTCTGGTCTGGATCATTACCCTCTATCACCCAGACTACTGTCACAAGACAATTGGCTGCAATAGGGAAAAGAACTGTATCAGTCAGGTGACTCTCAACTGAGAGTCTTCTGTCAGCAACCTTTTCCATTAGAGTTGCAAAACACAGGCGGTATTGCTACTGTATTGCTACTCTGAGTACTGCCATACCCTTTCCTCTCTAGATAGCAAATTCTTAATCAGCTACTTTCCCCCACTGACATTGTAACTTCACAGTCTCCTAGAAGTAGTAGACACGTTGGAGTACTTGATGACAATCATTTTCCAAAAGCTGAAGTCTAGATGATATGAAAAAAGGATTCTAATTCAACTCACTGGAAAAATAACACTTATGGTAATTAGAAGGTTTGGTTTTCTTAACACATGGATATACAGCTATAGAATTTCAATTTTTATTCAAAAACCAATTATTAACAATTATCATCTCCCTGATGAGTAGAAGCAATATCTTGACTCTTCAGTTACCTCCTTCTGTACCTGTCTGCATATAAGTATTTTTGTTTTTGGAAGGTTCATATACAAATAATATCCAAAATATTCTCTAAAAATAAATATTACAGATAAGGCTGAAATCCCCTTTGAGATGTCTGTCTAGCTCTTTCTACCTTCCTCAGAGGAAACACTAGTTCTTTTCTTGGGCATGTACATACATGTAAACAAGAAAATGTATTGTTTTATGTGCAAGTTCCTGTGTGTGTTGACATATAAATAGTATCCTCAGGTATATATTATACAACTTCCTTGTTAACTCAGAAGTTTATCTTGGCAGCTCTGCCTGTTATGTTCTTTATAATACTTTTTCTTTATTCTTAACTGTTGAACCTTAAGTGTGGAATGACTTGATAGCCATTCCTCTATTGATAGATATTTAATTTTTTTTGCCTGTAAACTTTTTTTTTATTAGAACTTGATGGTTAGACCTTTAATTTTGTTTATAAATCCTGATTATTACGGATAATCTGCATTGAACATCCTTGATGTATGTAACTATGTCTCTATAGCAAAAACTAGTTCTTAGGGTATGCCTGTTTTTATTTTTAATAGATAGTACTTGTTTGGTTTTATTTATTTATTTATTTATTTTACTTTTTTGCAATGGAGATGGAACCCAAGGCCTTGTGTATGTTAGATGACTACTCTTCACAGTGAGCATCATCCCCAGTACCTAATGCTTTGACACTTGTCATTTCTTTTAATGTTTCCTTACATTCTGGACATTTACTATCTTGTTATTTCAATTTATATGTGTTACTTTTAACATTATCATCAACTGATATAAAGACTTAAAATTAGTTTATTCTTCAGTCTGGAAAAATTCAGTCATCTATCTGAAGAAGCTTCCCTTTCAGATTAAAGAGTCTGCAGAGCTGACTGGAAGATAAGCTATAAGATTCCATTCCATTTCCACAGTCCATTTTCTAGAACTGACAGGCTGTCATTTGTATTGTTGATGTTAATAAGACAGAAAAGTTTCCTTGGCAACACACTGGCCACTTCTGTCTCAATTCAGACTGTGAAAACTACTTCATGTACCCTCTGAGGGCTGAGTACCCACTGAAATCACATGGCTGATGTTGGTAAATTATCCTATTACTCTCTGGAGAATAGTTGTAGAACTAAAAAGAAATGAAGCTGTTTTTTCAAAGGGATGCATTAAGAAATTTCATCTCTACCAGGAAGATGAAGACCTGCACTTAACTGTCTGTGGAAAGAATTCTGAGAGCAAAGAATATCATTCTTTTCTAAAATATTTGCTAATCTTTTTCAAATAAAAATTTTTTTCTAAAATATTTCTATCTTTACATCCAATTCCCCACTGTGGTCTCTCTTGCACTAATCTTATATTACATATATTCTCACATTGCCCCTCACTGATTACTTAGTGCAATTCCACACTATTTCTAGATAGCACATCCCTTAGAAAAAGCATGTCTCATTGTTTATACCTTCCAAACAATTTAGGAAGAGTCCTAAGGAGTAATATTCTAGTAACAACAAAAAACTCATAGGGCAAATGTTGATTATATTGTCATATGAAACAGCTCTAATCACCCCAGCCCCCAATTCTGCTTTATATATGTAAAATCAGATTATAAACAGAGATCATGCCTATAAGCACAGATTGTCTTCAAAGACCAAAATTATTATGAAATTATGTCCAAAAATAAGAGTTATCAGCAAGAAAACTCATCAATACAATGATAGAAAGAACATTATTGAGCCATTAAAAATGAGGTCACAAAAGAATATTTAATGACATCCTAAATGTTTATAATATATTATTTTACAAAAGAATACAATAGCAAATATCCTAAAAGCAGAATCCACATGTACAGAATTACTCCCGTTTTCAAGGCAATGTTTATGTGCTTATATTTACATCTAGGTACATTTAAGTTTTGTACTGCCAAACAAAATACACACACACACACACACACACACACACACCCCTGGTTAATTCTGAGTGCTGCATTTATTGTATATATAGATTTTCTACTGTTTTTATATTACTGTTATAATAGGTACTTACAGGACTCATCTGAAGTCACACTGGGGAAAGCATTACACTCTGACTCAAGGACAACTGAGACAAGAAGTTGATTTAATTGTGCTCCAGTTTTAAAGTTAGTAGGTCGACGCTGCTGCTTGTAGGGACCAAAAATATAGTCATGGTATCTGTGGAAGGTAAAAATTTAAATAAAATATAAAAGCGTTTTAGCCAAATTTTAAGTGCCTATGTGCTCGTGGACACTGTTGTCAATTCTCCAATTTATGCCACCCACTCAGTCCAGCCAGACATTTTTACCCCAAACTGCATATATTTGCCTGGGCCACTTTAAAAAAATCCTGATGCCTAGACCTTCAGAATCAGAATTTCTGAGAATGAAATTGTTACTATTTAGATATGAGGTGTCCCCTAAAAACTCCTTTGTTAAAACAGGAGGTGAAACGATTAGATTATGAGACCTATAACCAAAGCAATCCATCCTTGTTTGAATGGACTAACTTGGTGGTAACCTAGGCAAGGTGGGGCATGGCTGGAGGCAGTGGGTCACTGGGGATGTGACCTTGAAGGAGTCATCTTCCCTCCACCCTCAACCCCTGCTTCCTGGCTGCCAAGAGGTAAGCTTGGTTCCTCCACCAGGCCTTTCAGCCATGATGTTCTACCTCATCTTGGGCCCAGAGCAATGGAGTCATCTGACCATGGACTGAACTTCTGAAACTGTGAACCCCAAAAAGCTTTTCTTCCTCTAAGTTGACTTGTCAGGTATTTTGGTCACAACAAGGGGACCCTTGACTAACTGACTAATTTTTTCTCAGGGTCTCATTAGTTGGTTAGGGCTTGCTAAGTTGTTGAGGCTAGTCTCGAACTTGTGATCCTCCTGCCTCAGCCTCCGGTGTTGCTGGGATTATAGGCATGAGCCACCATACCCTGCTAAAAACCATTTTTTTTCCTTCCATACCAGAGATTGAACTCAGGGACACTTAACCACTGAGCTACATCCTCAGCCCTTTTTTTGTATTTTATTTAGGGACAGGGTCTCACTGAGTCGTTTAGGGCCTCATTAAATTGCTGAAGCTGGCTTTAAACTGATCCTCCTGCCTCAGCCCCACAAGCTGCTGGGATTACAGGTGTGTGCCACTGCGCCTGGATAGAAACCAATTCTTAATAGTTATGGGGCACATATGTGTGTTCCTTTCCAGAAAAAAAAAAAACAAGAAAACTCTTGTGATGCCTGAATCAGTTGCAGTTATGCTAGATATGGCAGAGAAGAAATGGAAAGAATATGGCTCTGTGGTGACTCGGTTGAGCCACTTAGTCAGCTAGCCATAAATTCTTTGCTACCCGTGGACTTCCTATTGTGTAAGTTAAGTTTTCTTGTTGCTTAAGCTAGACTGAGTCTGGGTTCCTGTTACCTTTCAACAAGAGTAATGTAGCTGAATAAGGTAGGTGATAGGTAACTCCAAAATGTTCGCACCCACCAGCCCACAGAGTTCTCACCAGAGCCTTTAAAATGTGCCTTATGTTAGCACATATCCGAAAAAAGAGAATATTAAATAAAAATTTTAAGGTGCTGAAGAATAAAGATCAGATAGGCTTTAGAGCAATGGTTTAAATATTTTATAAATTTTGATAAATCAGAGGTTGTATATGCTAAGCATATGTAAGAACATCTTGTAGCTAGGCTCAGTGGTGCATGCCTATAATCCCAGTGATTAGGAGGCTGGCAAGTTCAAGGCCAACCTCAGCAACTTAGTGAGGTCCTCAGCAACTTAGGGAGATCCTGTCTTAAGATTAAAAAAAAAATTGTTTTTTAAAGGGCTTGGGGATGTAACTTAGTGGTAAAGCACCCCTGGGTTAAATGCCCAGAATCCCACCTGCCCCCCCATCTTGTGCTTTTCCAGAAATGGAAGGATATAGGCATGAGCCACCATACCCTGCTAAAAACCATTTCTGAACCAGTGAGAAAATAGAATGGCTGAACTTTCTCACTGGAAAACCTTGACATACTTAAAAAAAATTAAAACCATAAAACATATAGTTAAAAATAAGATGATAAATTGTATATGTATTTTGCCACAATTAAAAATAAAAAAAAATTAAAAAGAACTTAAAGAAGTTGAGAATAAAGTTAGGGATAAATCACTTGCCTAGCATGTGCAAGGCCCTGGGTTCGATCCCCAACACCACAGAAAGCGAGGAAGGTTAAAGCTGCTGGCCATCTGAGAACTAAATTAGGTGCTAGTTAAGCTTTCAGGAACTCAAGGAGCAAAGATACTTATTCATTTTAAAAATAAGCATGTGGGAAATCCTACTGTAGGTGACATTGCAGGCTTGCACCTAACAGCCAAACTCCCTGCCTGTGAACAGCATCCTATTTCAAAGCAAAGTGTGTGATATAGCTCAAGCTCTTCAGAGATAGGAGCCATGCAATTCTGAAAACTCTAGAATCTGGGCTGTGTGTGTGTTCCTGACCACCTGGAGCTTTCTGAACACCCCAAATCTCCAAATCTTTCCAACCCTATTACGCTTTTACTCTGAGACAAAACCTGCTGCTCCTGAGCTCCTAGAATGCTTGTCTGCATGTTTTCAAGTCTTAGCCATGCTTTATAACTTGCTTCCTGACAATGGCAGGTATAATTATTAGCTGCTTCCTATACAGGTCATGAATTAGTCAGGCAAACTTCACGTAATAACATTTATACCTGTCTTACAATACCAAGCCTTGTTTTCAAACCATCTCACAGCCGATTCAAGTCCTGGTTATTTATCCACCATTAACTTACATCGCTCATGCTTTCTTGCCATACTCCTATCACCATGCAAAATGAAAATCCAGTTTTACAACCTGAACCACAAAGCATGGTAAGGGTATATTTTAGAGATTTCCAATCCTGGTCATGATCTTCTTTTAGATGACCTTCTAGTAAATTTTCATACAATCCTGAATATCCCCCAAGACAAGCAACCACTTTGGTTTTCTATCTTCCCAGTGGCCACAGCATTCCAAACTCTTAGCAGATTCAATACCAAAGACTCATTAGAGCACATCTTCTTCAACAGGGTGCCAACATCCATTTAGTTGTATAAAGCAAAAAGAAAATATGAACTTCCTTGTGGCAGAGAATGTGCCATTTCTTCCATTAACATCTTGGGCCTTTCTGAGCTCCCTTAAGCTGGTTTTATGTCTTCCCACCAGCTGTTTGGTGTCCTGCTGGTGAAATTAACTATACTTTTATCTATTAGGCATAGAGACAGAATCTGGGAGTGGAAGAAGGCAGAATCCTTCAGGACAGTTCCACCTACATAGGTCTCACGATGAAGGGTCAGCAGTTGGCACATTCAAACATATCCCCAAATGCAACCTGTATTTGCAAATTGTGTGGTTAGCAAGCTAGCTCTATGTGCTGCCCTCCCTGGATTGGAGAAAATGGGAGGTTAAATAAATCAAAGATTTGAGGGGATCTGTAAAAGAGGAAGCAGAACAAACACATGACTGGTGTTACCAAACAAAAAGTAAAGCAGATATTGCCGATGCACTGGCCACAAGAACTAGATTAGAACATCTAACATTGTATATGGAAACAGAGTTGAAGAGGAGTTTTCTGCAAGCAGCGGGAGAGACACCCCCCCCACCCTGTACACGAAGTCAACTTTGGGGAATCCCTGGCTTCAAACGGAGCTTGTCTGAGCCCTGCCAAATGCACTCATCTTGCCATAGGACTCCCTTCAACTAAGCTGTCACTTCCCGACAAAAAGCGGTGTCCTCATCCATCTCATCTGACCTTCCAGGGCAAACAGGGCGACTGATTCTGGACAACTTACACGTTCCATTTAGTATCCTGCACTCAAAACAGGGTACCTGAGCACCCCGGGCGTCTCTCAGGAGGCAGAAAAGGGAAGAAAAGCGATTTTCCGTCCCCGCCCTGCCATTTTGCACCCCTGAGACCTAGGTCAGGTCAACTAGAGTGCTCTGGGACGGGGTCCTCGCCTCTCCCGCCCCGGGACCGGATCCCTTCCCCGCGTGGCCGGAGCGCTCACCGCCGAAAGGCCTCTTGCAGCAGGGAGCAGGAGGGACCCGCCGTGGAATTGGGGCCGTGACCGATGGAGAATTCCTTGGGGGCTAGGTGCAGCTGGCGCTTGAAATCCTGTACCGACAGCGGCAGGGGCCACAGCGCGGGTCCGGGCTGGACCAAGGCGCGCGGGGTGTGCGCCAGCAGCAGCAGCAGCAGCAGCCGCAGAAGCCCCGGAAGCCACGGCCTTCCAGAACCGCGCGGCGATAGCTGGCGCTGCTCCATGGCCTCTGGGCTGCAGTCCGCAGCCTCTGCCGAGCCGGAGTCCCGAGATGTGACTTCCCGCCCGGGCCTTGTGGGAAGAAGGCGGCTGGGCGTGAGTCACTGAGTCAGATGACCCGGGCGCGGTTCGCGGGACTCCGCCTCCACGCCCGAGTCAAACCTTCCCTGTGCGCCCCTGGCTGCTCGCCAAGGCCACACCAGAGACTGTATTCCCGGGATGCTTCCCAAGTAGCTGCAGATCCTCAGATGCATAATGGCCAAAGTTGGAGGTGGGCCAAAGGCCAAAGTCGGAAATGGACCAGGTTCGACCCGGTGCCAGGGCTTTCAGACTTGGCGCTCCTTCTGGCCACGCTCTGGCTTCTGTAAAACGGGAGAACTCATACCTCTGGGTCACCTCTTTCTTTCCCCAACCCCAAACACCAGATAATGGAGATGGTAGTTTATTTGCTCCGAAGTCTAGACTTTTGTGTCTAGCAAACTAAAACCACAGATCTACAGCAGATATTCAAGAAACGTTGAAGAGCTGCTAGGAAAGACTTAAAAAAAAACATGATGCGTGCTCAAAGTCAAGTTCTTCCATAAGAGCAAGCCTCAGTGCCATGCTATTTCCTCCTGTTATACTTAACATAAATTTAACTTGCAGTACCCACTCTCACTGCCACGTTTATTATCAATTAAAGACTAACAGCAAAATGTTTCCAAGATTCTGATACTGGTGATTGTAACAGTGGTCCACTTCACCTTTTGAATGTAGCCCTCATTGTGCTGAGGCTTATTTTTAAAAGGACTTTTTGTTTTTTCTCTCTTCTCCGCTTCCCCCTCCCTAACAAGCTTAGGGAGACATTGTTATCTTTTCTTCCCCTGGTTAATTTTCCTTGAACACACCCACCGCAGGAAGCAGATGTCTGCCAGAGGACCTAGGAAGTGAATAGCTTCCAAATTAACAAGTGAATCCTAACGCAATATCAGGGCACCTGGGCCCTCCCTATCAGGGGCCCTCCCTACCAGAACACATCTGGAATGCAACCATTGAAGAGTTTCTTCTGAAACTCTGTTCCTCCTGATGGGCAGAACCACAGCCTCGGGGACAAGAGTATTCTGTGTTACTCCTTTGCTAGCAAAGCAATAAACCTTCATTTTCCTTTTTCTCAAAACCATGTCCTCATTATTAAATTGTCATGAACTGGCATCGGGCTTTCAGAAACAAAATTGGCACCCCACATGGGACCCAAGAGCAGATCCCGCTCCAGCTTTCTTTGGCAGGCCTGGCACTCCAAGAACCACACTTCCATGCTGAGGATGTAAGGTGAACTTTTTTGAAAGCTGACTACTGGAAAGTTAGGAGGTGAGCAAGTATGCCCCTGGTCAAACCAGAGGAGCTATTCCTGTGAGTAAAAGGAAGGGATTGAGAGATGTCCCAGCAGCTGCCCAAGCCCCTTCAGGGAACTCCCACCTTCCTTCCTTGTACTGTTTGGATTGCTCTACATTGGTCTACTTTCAGAAAAAGGGAACTGAACACAGTGAAGTTGGACACCTTGGCCATTTGGTAAGCTCCCCCAGTGTGCACACCAAGACCCTGATTCTACACATCTGTTCTCCTTTATAGGAACATCTGGTCCCTCTTCATGGGAACATCTGTGGCGCTGCTGGTGTAGAAGTCATGGTTAAGTGGGAGTTAGAAACTTGGGGGGAATTTTCCCTCTGTGTTCTGTTTTAAAAGTTCCCGTTAGTCAACCATGGATGGGGGAATCCTCTTGTTATGCTTGAATTCGGGACCCCCAAAAGACCACCAGAGACCAAGATGATGTAAGCAGCAAAGAGGTGTTTATTGTGAGCTAGCTCGGTCCTCACACAGCACACGGCAACTGGAGATGCTGAGAGGCCTCGAGCTCAGGGTTTGCAGCAGTTTTATACACTCTTTGGGGAAGGCAGGGACTTAACATACATCATAGCATCTCTTAGCAAATCATCACACACCTTGGGAAAATCATAAAACAACTCTAAAACATGATTAGCACATTCACTGGCGGGAACAAGTTGGGTAACGATGATTGGTTAGTGCAAGAGGGGGATTCCTTTGAACTGATTGGTTTAAACCACAAGGGGAGTACACTGAACTACATGGTTTCCCAACATGTTATCAACACCATAAACTACTGGGAGGATCATCTGGCATCCTAGATATTTTCCCTGTCTCATGCTGATTGGTGGTTGCTAGGGGGTTGCTATGGGTCCTCACCTAGCCTGACTGAGTCAGGGACACCTGGTTTTGCAGATCTCTCCTGTTATTTGTAGATAAACAACTCAGCAGGGTGGGTATGTGCCTAGGAGTGCTCTGTGGGACAAGGATCATGCCCCCTTCCTTGGACAGGCTTTGCTCCGAGGTAGAGGCTGGTTTCTCACTCTCTGTCTCTGTTTATATTTGTTTCTGGCCCTTTAAGACATGGGCAATATTGTGTTGATCCCATAGATTGTTTCTTGGGAAAGACCTTGGTTGAATGGGCCACCTATAGATATAAACCTGTCTAAGAAAAAGATGATGTTTTACTGTAACAATCTGGTCTTTGAATGGTTTTCTGAATTACTGTACAATCTTGAAGTTAGAGTTGGTCGGTCAGAGATAAAATAAGTGAAAAATTCTGTATGTGCAGGCATGTACACAATTACATAACGAGTCTAAACAGTCAAATACTAAGTTGGAAGCAAAAAGGTGCTGCCTATAATGTGTGAGTATAGCAGGACACCAAAAGAAAGGATTTAAATTTTTTTTTTAATTTTATTTTTTTCAGTCCTTTCAACCAAAGGCTGACAGTCTTGAGTACTGCTTCTCAGCCTGGCCCCAGGCAGCTGCAATTATCCTGCTGTGGTTCAGGTTCACCAGTCCTGGGATAAAGGGGGTGGGCGTGGGGAATCCCAGGAAAGCTGCCCAGTCTATAGAGAAATATGCAAAGAGGACCTGGCCTCTACCCTACTTTCCAGTCACTCTTTGTGCAGGGGAATAAAATTGGAGTTTGGGAACAGGGCTCAGTTCACTGCTTCTGCAGACAAATGAAATCTGTGTGCACTGTCTCTGGGTACAGTTGACAGTGGGAACTCACTTAAATTTGAGGGCATCATGGTGGCGATAAGGGAGATTGGTCGAACAACAATACTGTGTTCCAACCCCTTGAGTGCAAACTGAAAGGAAAAAGATTTAAGGCACAGTTTTTTGTGTATGCCAGACTGTGATCCCTCTCCTGGGATACAAATTGTTGTGTAAGAGGTACAGATAACATCCTTGCCCCAAAGCAACAGCTTCATTTAAAAGTGCCTCCTAGGAAAAGAAAACAGAGCCTGCTCTGCTGGAGGTCCACTAGAAGTGAGTGAGGCCTTTTAGGCCAAAGGGACCCTGAGAAGGTGATCAATGTCATCTTAACCAAAATTTGTTTTAGGAGAAAATAATTTGCCCCAAGGGGAAAAATAACCCCTTATGAGAGAGGCATTAATGGGGATTCATTCTCTTCTGGACAGTTGTTTAAAAGGTGAATTGAGTCCGCTTTGTGCTTTGTCAGATATAAATACTCTGCCTATTCTGCCTGACTCACATTGATGAGTACCAATTTGTGCAAGATTTGAGAGCTATAAAGTATTTATTAAAGTGTGATGTTCATTGCTTTTAGGATTTTTCTTTGTCAGAGAAACAGGTGACTTAAAATTTTGAGAAGGCTTGATTTTCATGAATAACCTTAATATAGGTGTGTGTGTGTGTGTATGTGTGTGTGTGTGTGTGTGTAACTGAAATATATATTGTGTTTATATATATATGTGTGTGTGTGTGTATACATATGCATATATATCTGAAACTAAATGTTTGAGCTTTATCTAAATATTCCGTAAAAGTTTATAAAATGAAAGTTCATATAGGTTTAACCAATAAATGCTGTATTTTATAAACTGCATCTGGGATGAAAGGGTCACATTGCCATTTGAAAAACCAGCTTGTATCTGTCTTCTTTGACTAAGCCTAATTCTGATCATTAACACTGTGTCCTAAATGTATAAGAGATTTAAGGCTATCCTTGATTTTTGCTAGTATGGCTAAACTCTACAAGCCTGCAATTATCTGTGGATTCTGAATTTTACTGTGAAACTTAAACCTAGTTAATATAAGGACATCTGTGTAATTGTGACACTATTAGTTCTTCTTTGTATATTAAATCTATTCATATTCTTCCAGTATATAAGTTTTAAAATGTAAAGCTTAGGAAAACACTTTATCAAGCTGGTATTCCCCAAATTAAAGTTTTGTAATGGTAATTTTAGACTTATAGAAATAGCAGATTTAGTTGGGATTTATTTATATCATTTAATATTCTGTAATTGGACATGTTATCAATAAGATATATGTAAAATTTTGTTACTTTTCACACTGAAATAGGAATTTAAAAGCATTTTTGGAAGGTAATAAGGAGAGTCTGATCTGTTTAAAGGTGACATTATAAATGAAAGCATTTTGCTACTTTTTTCACAAAAAAAAACAAAGTTAAAAGCTCTCTTAGCTTTTATTTGATTCGTGTTTTAGATGTAATGTTGTATTGTGTTATTTATGAAGAGCCCTACCTTACCTAAGATAAGGCTTTGCCTCCTAACTTACTCCATGTTAGAATGGCTCCAAAATAGTCTAGACTTGAGCTGATTTAGAGTTGCTAAGAGCCAAGTATATGATGCATGGCATTTTTGGTCGAAAGGTGATGCCAGCTAGCCATTGAGATGATATGATTATGTTAAGATTTGCATTCATATGGATATTGGACTCCTGCTGTTCACCTAGGCCGGCTACGGGACTCCTGGAGAGTTCCCATTGGTTGGGGAAGTACAGTAGGAGGGAGTTCCGGGGGAGGAGCTCTCTCTGCGGGCCGGGAGGAGGCCGAGTGGGTGGAAAAAATCTGCCCCGGCGGTACCGGACATTGACGGCAGTTTCAAAAAATAAACTTTGTTCCTGCTTGAGTGGCTCTTGATTTTGTGCCCAGCCAGACTGCGGAGAGTTGTGTTCAAAATATCAAATTTTTGTTATAAAGATTACTGTATCTCAAAATA